CGAAAGCTTATGCTCTAATAAATTTGTTAGTCTCTAAGGTGCCACAAGTACTCCTGTTCTTCTTTTTGCGGATACAGACTAACACGGCTGCTACTCTGAAACCTGTTAAGTTAAAGACATCTAGGTAGATTGTTAGCAGAGACTTCTGATATTTATATATCATATGTAAAACTTACGTATATTCTTGTTACTGTTCTCTTGTCTCCTTCCTACTCTCAATCCTTCCATGCATTTTATCTTTCTTAGACTGTAAACTCTGCGGACCAGGGCTTTTTTTTGCTCTGTACCACACCTAGCACACTGGGGTCCCAATCCTGACTGAGGCCAGTTAGTGCTACAATAAATAAAACAGATTCCATGAAAAAAAAATGCTAAAGTGGATTTTTCACCATTTATGTTTATTTTTTACATTTGGAGTTAAAATATTATGCATATTCCTAAAATGTCTAAGAAATATATATTGGTGAAGGAATCTTCTCTTCTTACACGTTTGTGAAGTGCTGTATATATCTATGATACTATACAAAAACCAAAACTCTTTATAATGCTTAGCTACTACAGTGCTAAGCACTATAGAAAAACCCAAGACAAATCCTAATAATCTCATGCAAAACCCCCTAGAGGATGCTATTTATGGGTTTGACTGTTTTAAAGACATATTTAAATATAAGTAATAAACAGACTATAGTTTGATTTCTCAGTTTTTAAATCTATCCATTAAATAATATTTCAAGAAAAAAATTCCTCCTCCTGCAGAGATGTTGCATTTCCTAATCTGGATCTAAAGCATATAGATAGCAGCCCTGTAAAAATTTATATGCTAGTGGATTTTCAATACCTTTTAATAACTTTGCATTTCCTATCCTTCAATGCAAACCTTATGCTGATGTCCAGCACAGTGAATGTCTCATGTGACACATGCCCTAGAGATCCCACCATTCACTAATTCAGAGTGACTTCTCTGTTCTCTTTTTAATCATTCACTCATTATAAAACAGTTATTTTGGCTCTAAGACAAAGCCAGTGCCACCCTACTGTAGCAAACCCTCAGCCCCGTAAACCCTGCTACTGGGTACATAATGTCCATTATACTAACCTATTCTTGGATCTGTTAGTCAGTTGGCAGCAGGCTACACTCCCAGTGCCTGTCACATTTCATTTCTGCTGTGAAAACGCTTGTGTCTATCTTTCAAAGACATTCTTCTCCTCTTGCTTTCTCCACAACATGAAAAGGTTGATGCTGATGTGAGTGCTGAATTGTTCAGCTTCAAGAGATGCAACGGACTCACTTAAAATCATGCTTGCAGATATATGTTTACAAAGTAAACATATCCCTTATGAGCCACTAAGAAAATATTCTTCTGGGACCTGATTTCCTAATGTTGTTCTTAGGCCTGCGTGTTCAGTGCATACTGAAGAGTACTGCTGACTGACGCACAGTTAGGGCATAGAAGCAAAATGGATGAATCTTCTATCTAGTGTTCCAGAAAATGGATTAATGTGCTGAAGGGGAAAAATAAGACATTCTTCCAGCTTGAAATCCTGTGCTCTCTAGTAAGGACAATATGATAAATACATTATTTGCCAAAAGTCTAATAAGATTTAAAGATTATATGTTATAGAAAATCTCCAGTTTTCAACTTCAATTTGTGTTGAGTTGTGTTATCCTCTGTTCAGAATGCTTTAGAAGCTTGAAAACAAAATTACTTTATTTGATCTTCTATTTGAAAAACGAGAAACTTTTGTTTTAAGAAAAGCATGAAATCTTAAGATTGTAAGAAATAGCTATGGAAAGATTTAAATTAATAAACTGCATTGATTTTCTTTGCTCATGAGACTAATGAAAAATTCTGATATCAAGTGATGTTGACAGATGCAAAATATGCTATATTTGTGTGTGAAATATCAATATTTTGCTACAAGCAGTTACTTTTTTTAACCTTTATTTAAGTTATTACATAAAGCAGTAGAAAGCATGAATTGTCTTTACAATTACAAGTAAAACTGTTAGAAGTCCTAAAATAATATTTATCAGACTATCAATTTCATTGAAGGTGCCACCAGACTCCTTGTTGTTTTTGTAGATACAGACTAACACTGCTACCCCCGATACTTGAATTTCATTGAATGTCTTTTCTTTTCTAGGAAGGTATATATCCTATGCCAAATACTTCACGGATAAGGACTAATGACTTGGGAAACTGGACTGCTGTAATGTCATGCTTATGATCTGAGATATCTGTAAAAATATGTATTTTCACATATAAAACATGAAATTCTAAACAATTTTGCTGTAACAGAACTGAATTGACTGATCTATACACGTTAGAAAGTAAATTACAACTACTGTCTTTAGGATATGTTTAAGTAAGCTAAAAACAAGAAAATGCATTGTGTTTTCAGGTTTTGTATTCAAAAGCACTAATTTAAAGATGTTACAGACAAAAAAACAAATGAGCCATAGCTCACTTTTTATTATAACGATGGTAACAAAAGTATAGAAATACCTTTGTGGATCATATTGTGATCTTTGGCTCTTATTTTAGTAGTTTTTCTACAGCTAAACATATCAGAGAGAGAGATATGAAGCTTTAGTATCGTCAAAACGTATCTGGTATGTCCTATCTACTCCTGTGAGAGGAGCATCCATTTAATAACAGCTGTCAAAAGAGATTAAAATATTTAATAACTCTTGGGCTGACACAGGAGAAAAAACAAAAAATACAGCTAATGTAAGTAATAATTGGAATCTGCAGAGAATGCAACAGCAGATATGTTCAGCTCCTTATTATCAATAAGGGTGAGCACAGGGTGGGGGAACAAAGTTAAAGTTTGAGAATGTGACACTTATTCCTAACTGCCTTCCCATATTGGTGCTTGTGAAATTTAGCACTTCTATGCAATACTAAGAATACAATTTCTGCATCTACAAATGCATAATTGCTTCATCAGGTTAAAGAAATTAAAACACTATTTTCCCCCCCTTTTAGGTAATTTGAACTATGTTTAATTGAACTATGGTCAGAAGAAAGTTTCTAGAGAGCAAAAAATGAACCAACTTGATGCAACAAAATCAGGATTTTTAGTGTGCATTGGCCTCTGTATTTTCATCTTCACTTTTATCTATGTAAGAAACACATTTTCTAAGGTACCAAGTGAACAAAAATCCTTCCCAGATACAACAGAATGTGGTGTTTATCCAGATGAACTTTGTTCAGCGCTTTTTGAGGGGAAAAGTGCTGCACCTCAAATTGGAAATTTGTGTCAGATTATTCACCAACCTGAAATGCCTGACTGCATACGGACTCCATGCAATTGCTCCAGTGTCTTGAAGAGTCTGCATTTTATAACAAGACCACTATCTGAAGAAGAAGGAAACTTCTCCTTGGCATACATCATCACAATTCACAAGGAGTTAGAAATGTTTGTGAAGCTACTCAGAGCCATTTATCTGCCTCAGAATGTTTATTGCATACACATAGATGAAAAGTCACCACAGGATTACAAAACTGCAGTGCAAAACCTAGTTAACTGCTTTGAAAACATTTTTATTTCATCAAAAAGAGAAAATGTTGTTTATGCAGGATTTTCAAGATTACAAGCTGATATTAATTGTATGAAGGACTTAGTTAATGCCAAAACTCAATGGAATTATGTTATTAATCTGTGTGGCCAGGATTATCCCATCAAAACAAACAAAGAAATTATACAGTACATCAAAAGTAAATGGAATGATAAAAATATTACTCCTGGGGTGGTCCAACCTCCTCATATGAAACATAGGACGCATCTTAGTTACAAAGAATATGTACATTCAGGAACATCCTACGTGTATCCAACCAAGAATATGAAAGATGATCCTCCACATAACTTAACTATCTATTTTGGTACTGCTTACTATGTACTCACTAGAAAGTTTGTGGAGTTTACGCTGACCGATGTACGTGCAAAAGATTTGCTTGAATGGTCAAAGGACACATACAGTCCAGATGAGCACTACTGGGTCACACTGAATCGTTTAAGTGGTAAGATGCATGTTATTTAGGGTTACCATACGTCCGGATTTTCCCGGACATGTCTGGCTTTTTGGGCCTCAAATCCCCGTCCGGGGGGAAATCCCAAAAAGCCAAACATGTCCGGGAAAATAGGGAGGGGCCGGCGGTGCTCGGCTGGGGGCTGGGCCGGGGGTGCGGGGCCAGGGCCGGGGGTGCGGGGCCAGGGGTGCTTGGCTGGGGGCTGGCCCGGGGCCGGCACCCCAGGAGCCGAGCCAGGCTGGAGACACTGGGGCCGGGGCCAGCCGACGGAGGGAGCCGCTCGGTTGGGGGGGCCAGACTGGGCCGCGCCTCCTCCCCCCACTCCCCCCAGCTTACCTGCTGCCTGCTTCAGGCTTCCCGCGAATCAAATGTTCGCGGGAAGCAGGGGAGGGGGCGGAGTTGGGGCGGGGACTTTGGGGAAGGGGTGGAGTTGGGGCAGGGGCATGGGCGGGGCTGGAGGCGGGGCCGGGGCCCCGTGGAGTGTCCTCTTTTTGGACACTCAAAATATGGTAACCCTAATGTTCTTTATACCATGAATTGCCTCCTTGTCCCACATTATTATGACATTTCAGCCCAGGAGAGTGATGAGGTTCCCTTTGGAACCCAGTGATGCCATTGTATATCAGCTGCAGAGGTTATTTCCTCCATCCTCAGTGGATGTATTGCAGTGTCCACATCCCCTGATGGTTTGGGAAAATAAAAGATGGAATCTTTAAGTATTCCAAGTATCACAAATGGCAGTGCAGACCACTAGTTACTGGGCTAGAAAAATGCAGCTTTTAAGAATGTCCCCTAACCCCCTGTACAGACTACTTGTTCTAATGGAGCAATAAATTGGGCAAACCTATTTGATATTTCTATTATCTGTCATTTTTAATATCTGTAAAATGAAGAAACAATAAGGCAATACTTTTAAAAGATAGCTTCAAAGACAATCAACATTATTTGTGTTACACAGAAAATAACTGTCTTTAGCTTTGGTTTGATTTTTTTTAGATGCTCCAGCTGCTACACCAAATGCACAGTGGGAAGGAAATATACGAGCTATTAAATGGAAAGATCAAGAAGGAGTTGCACATAATGGCTGCAAAGGTAACGTGATAACTGAAAACAGAACCAGACCCTTTCAAAACACTCGGATCTTGCATCTGAAGAAGTGAGGTTCTTACCCACGAAAGCTTATGCTCCCAATACTTCTGTTAGTCTCAAAGGTGCCACAGGACCCTCTGTTGCTTTTTACAGATTCAGACTAACACGGCTACCCCTCTGATACTTTCAAAACACTGTATTTATGAAATACCACTATCAGATAAATTGATGCACTTGCTCTAACATCCATTGCAGAATAATTCTTATGTTTCATAATTATCCATGAAATGTCTCAGTCATGGATATTTTATTTTTTTAAAGTATCAAATAAAAGCAACCATACTAAATTACTCTTATACCCCGTCCAAATATCTTTCGATATCTTCGAATACTGCGGACTGTTACAGTACCTATTTACTAAACTGTTCTTTAAACCCCCAACTAAGAAGATAGTTCTATAATTAAGTGAGTTAATGACAGAGTTCTACACATTTAACATTTCAGTAGCATTAAAGCTTAAACTAATGTTTTTACAAGCCATTGCACACTCACATAATTCCAACCTATTAAATGAACATGTATCCAGTGCACGAACCTTAGTAGTTCACCTTAAACAGAAGAGAACAGATTTACTTGACATCCATTTGACAAATATGCACGTTCAACAAGTGAGTGTGCACGTGTCCACAAGGTAACTCAGGGTTGGCCTATGTGCAGTCCAGCAATACAGACAAAAATGCAGAAATATAGTGATTTCTAAAGAGCAGTTTGACCCTGGTTGAGTATTCAATCACCTACTTTCATTTAAACCTGTAACTGCCATAAACTAAGCACAGAGGAAATTTGGGGACAGGACAAAAGAAGATGAATGAATTGTTGTACCCCAGACGAGAGCATGGGATCAGACCACCAACAGGTCAAGTGAGCAACATGAAGCACTGCAATGTATCACTGAAGCAGCAAGTCTGGGTACAATGTACACCCCTTTGTCTAAAATCAATAATCAGTATGTAGCACCTTGTTTTTATAAGTAACAAAACAGTAATATTCTTTAGATTTACTTCAATAAGCAGATACATCTATTTGTCATTAATGTTAGTAGCACCTTAAAATATTTTAAAAAACATCTAATTCACTATTCCCCACTTTGTGTACCTTCTGCATTTCAGTCAGCTTGGAACTGTTAATATATTTACATTTTGTCTTTGCAGGTCATTACATCAGAGATATTTGTGTCTATGGACTGGGGGATTTACAGTGGATCATTGAATCACCTAATTTATTTGCCAACAAGTTTGAGCCCACAACATATCCGCTTGTTATGGACTGCCTAGAGAGACGCTATAGGCTTAAAGTACTGCAGCAAGCTGAAGTCCCACTAGAAGCCCACTGGCATTTTCAGGAAAGTAACTATTTTAATATGAAGTTGAATGTTTGAGCCTACTGGACATCTAAACTATTGAGCAGAAAGAATGGAAAGAAATTAGCAACATGTCTTTTAAAAGTGCAGACTTCTTTATATAAATTATATTTAAGGAAGGTGGTATCATTAACCCAGCTCGTGTTCTGTTGTTCACCAACTACCATTTCTGGGAACTACAAACAGTAAGAAAGTTCCTATCGGTATTAAGAAATCCTTAATTATTGAATAGAGTACACTCACGATTACTTCAGCACAGACTGCTTTTGAGAAAGTTCTGAAGAATATGGACAAAAAGATCAGAAGACAAATTTTTAATAAGGAAAGAAGTGACTTTTTTCCCTATACCTGAATAAACTACCATATGATTACATATGAGACTTATCAAAGAGAAGCAGAAAATTCAAGCTACTCCTTAAAATAATTCATTCAATGGGGAAATAATTGTTTCATATGGCCCTGAAGAAAGCACCATTCAAGTTGCTGAAACAGAAAATAAGAAGCACAGATTGAACAGAGACAAAATATTAAGATTTTAAAGTTAAATTAAAGTGGTGTCTAACTATATGTCCTAGTAAGTAACTTATTTTGAATCAAGGGAGAAGTTTACATTATGTACAGTAGTCTTAGAGGGACAGTGTAGGTTGAAAACATTCACTGAGTTGTTTTTTTAACCTAATGCAGTTGCAAGTAACACCTAAATTTCTAAAACTGAAAGAAGTCAAGTGATATATATATATATGTGTGTGTTATTTTCTCAGTTTATTTTGTGTATTTGTCAGCACTTTGTATATAGTCAATTTCACTGTTTTGTTGATGGCCTGTTACATTTCCTGGCTCATGGACTAGCATGGCAACATCACTTATGTACTGCTCCGGTGGAAGCTTACATGCATATTTTTCACTGGAGGGTATTTATCAGTAGCAGAGCTGCTATTAGTTGAGTTTGGAGCTGGGGGGACCCTTTTCCTGGGATCTCTGAATGGAACTGGCAAACAATGGGAGCATAGACAGGGCAAGAAGGAACAGCCTGTACTTGGGGCTGGGGAGCAACTGAAAACTGGGCAACAGGCCCATTCTTCCATTCCACAGGGTATGCAGGTAGCCCACTTCTTTCCAACACCTATACATAGCTGTAGAGTTCAGAGAATATCTAGCAGCATACGGACATGCACACCACCTCCAAATCCATTTGTGGATTAAAGGAAGCACTGTTCTGCATCAGGAAGGTGGTGTCCCCAGCCAGACCCTATGAACAACCAACAAACCAGAGGCAGTAGCACAAGGATTCCGCATAAGTTTGGGCAAGGACTTGTCTTCACTTCCCAGAACCCCTCTACTGGTTCTGGGGAACAAAGCAGTTCTTCTCTCCTTAAGCCTCCCCTGGCAGGCCTTACCTCAATCCTGCACTGAAATGACCGGTAGGAGTGTGGGGCACAAACACATTTGGGTGTTGGTGTTCTCAGGCCAGCCCACTCTCCCTTGAGCAAGAAATCCATATAAGCATCAGCAGAAGAGAAAAACAATTCACACTATGTCACTGATGAAAGGGGACTCGCAGAGAAACTTCCATTTTTTTGGGCCATTTAAAAAAATCCAAGTCGTCAGTGTTCCTGAAAAAAAAAATGCGTGCAGTAGAACCTCATTCCCATGACCCCAAATACACTCCTGTATTTCTTAGAAGTGAATTTTGACCTACTACATACTATTATTTATAGATTGCACATTTAGAGACTTCCATCTAGATACCATTTTTTTTTATGGCTGCCAATGGGTCTTGCTTCTTGAAAATTTTAGAGGCATTCAATAGACCTTTGCTGTGCTCTGCCATTTATTTATGTATGGTATTTAATGGACTTCTGCCATGCTTTGCCAAGCACTTTTTAAAATAATCTAATACCGCTCTTTGGAGTTCCTTTTTCACTCAGTCTCCCCATAAAATGTCTCTGGGGGAGTTCATAGGGGCCGCCTTTAAATTTAACCCATTCTCCAGCATGGTATTTATTTCTCCATATTCAAATTCTTAAACCCTTTTAATGCCATTTCCCTAAATGCTAGCTTATGACCCCCCACACTAATGGGTGTATACATTACATACTCAAGATGAGCGGATTCAAGTAATGGCACTACTATTTTGGGGTTCCCGCAAGACCTCTTCCACTGGGTTCCCCAAGAACTCAGTTCAACTCCAGTCTCATCACTTAGCTTCCCTTATCAGGAGTACAGCAAAGCTGCGTGGAGTTGATCAGACTCAAGTGTCAGGGTGGATATAGGGCACACATCCAGTTACTCAGCAAACCTCCTCTTTTATTTAAATTTACCCATTTGCACTGCATCTTACATTTTGGGACTGGCTTCGTCACTTTGAAAGAACCAATCCTTATACAGCATGCACTGTCCGTGCACTACTTACTTCTTACCTCATTTTATGTTCCAGGCTTACCTTTTCCATTATTATCTTGTCGGTTGTAAATGGTTCCCTGGGTATTCCCCCTTATCTTAGCTAGTACAGACATTCTGTTTCCAGCTTGCTGATTCATTTCCTTCCTTAATCCTGTCTCCCAACAAATAAGGCCTCACCCAGGTCCAATTACTCATATCAAATCAGTCCTATACCTGTGAGGTAGCAAAGTATTATTCCCCTCTTTCCAGATGCAAAAACTGAGCCACAGAGAGGTTAAGTGACTTACCCAAGGCCAAAGTGATTTCCCTTCCTGAGGTTGAGTTTGGAGCTGAGCCATATTATTGAACGGTTTCTTGGCAGCACAGTTTATTTGAAAAGAACTTTAACATAAGCACTGAGCATCTGTTTCCCTATTTATTTAGCAAGTCAAGAAATTCAACCTCTGCCTCCATAATTATCCATGGTATAAAAAGAATCAGCATACAACTTAGTTATTTAAAAATACATTGCAGCATAACTCTTATGAATTTCATGGTTTCAAGTCACAGGGTAAACTAGAAAATGCCTTTTCTCAAGAAAATTCATCATTAGAGCATTTTTCACTTTGTTTAGACTGATTGATAACTAAGGATTTTGTTACGTGCATCAGTCATAACAAAATTAGCTTTGAACTTTCTCTTTAAACACCATTATAAAACATTAAGCGTATTTATCTGTTCTGCACAAATGTTTTAGAAAATAAATGTAATGATCACAATCATTTTGTTATAAGAGCCACTATAAAGGACTCTGTGTTGTTTTGCACGTTAACAACCCAATCTGCCACCCTTATTCACAATAAGAAATATCTTTCTCCATAATGAATTAAATTAGTGGTTTACTTGTGTAGTAAGGAATCACTTAACGTGTATGAATAGCAGAATCTGGCCCTAACTGAATAAACTAGAGAAAAAAAATCTTAGTTTACAGCTGTCATATGTACATAAAAAGAACTTCTTGTTAAAATAGTATTAAGGTTTGATTTAAGAATGGGCAAGCCAAGAAGTTCAGAGTTGAGCCTGATCCTTCCTTAAAATGGCTCTTCTATATTTTATATAAACACAACAAGGAGTCTGGTGGCACCTTAAAGACTAACAGATTTATTTGGGCATAAGCTTTCGTGAGTTAAAACCTCACTTCTTCGGATGCATAGAG